TTATTTTGCTGAATTTAATTATTCATATTATTGTCACTATAACGACAATCCCCAAATACAAACTATAATTAAATATAATCTCTATAAAATAGGCATAGGCAGTGAAAATCAAGGAAAATATATCCAAAGACTTTAGACTCCCCACTCCTTTCTAAAAGGTACTCTGATAGGTTAGAAAACTGCAAGCCAGACTTTGATTTTGCTTATTTATTTTCTTTTCCATCAGTGTCAGCAGTGGATCGAGTAGAATTCTGGAAAATGATGTGGTCTTAATAATATCCCAATATTTGAACTATAGTTTCTTGAGCAGTAGCCTAAAACTCATAAAGCCCTGAGCTGTATTTAGATCACTTTAAGCCAGGGGTCTTCAAACTTGGCCCTTTTATGAGGAATGGCTGAGGAATTCTGGGAGTTGAAGTCCACAAGTCATAAAAGAGCCAAGTTTGAAGACCCCTGCTTTAAGCCAAAAAACAAACACATTATAGGTTAGCATTTTATCTGAGCCAGGTTAAATTCTGCTCTATGACTCTTACTGATTCTTGTTTTCTGAAGAAAACATAGAATTTATTAGCATAGAATTACTTTATTAATTTACATATTTTATTGTTAATAAGCTCCATGAGCATAGTAGGACTTACTTGGTCCAATGCATTTATTGCATCACAAATGAAGTTGTAGTGGAAGCAGTGGTTTGTTTCATACAGCAATTTCTCAGCACGAAGCATAAACCTATTACTAGAAAATCCTCCTAGAATTCAACATTAATAAATGTTGGCTTTACAGGTAGTCCTCAACTTACAACCACAATTGGGACCAGTCACTAAATGATGCGGTCATTACAGGAGTTGTCATCCTCAGCTGGACCCAATTTTATGACGATTTTACTATGATCATTAAGTGAACTGTGCAGTTGTTAATCGAATTTGGCTTCCTCAATTGATTTTGATTCCTCAATTGAAGCTGGCTGGGCAAGTCATAAATTATGATCATGTGACTGCAAGGTGCTGCAGACATCATAAATCTGAGTTGGTTGCCAAGCACCCAAATTGTGATCACACTGTTGCCACAGTCATAACTTTGATGATGGATCATGAGTCCCTTTTTCTGAGGCTCTTATAACCAAACTGTGGTTAAACAATTTTAAGCAGAGCACTATCTGTATTTGTGATTTAGAAAACAAAGTGTTTCATATACCTTATCTAGATATTCACACTAAGATCCTTTGAATCAGGATTTTTATTCCATTACACTCTACTTTTATTTTACTCAGACAATTAGTGTCATTTGCTGGGCCAAGACCACTGACGGAGTAATAGATTTGGAAAGTATCTGTTTTACAACAAATAACCTTGAAGCTGAATGCAGAAAAAATCCTAAACCACAATTCATTCTCTTAACGGTCATATGGTGGTCCTTTCAGATAAAAATAGAACCTTTGTGTGCTGAATACCTTTTAGGATTGCACAGCACTTTGGAATCAGACAAAAGATGCTTAAAGGCATATACGTAGGACTACTTGTTGAGTACTTGTCTGCAACTCCTTAAAGCAGCTGTGTCTTTTCTAGGATCACATGGGTGCTGTCAGCAACTGCAGCATCATCCTGAGAAAAGGCATATTTGCTTTAAGCTGTTGGAAACAAATGTTATGTTTATGGCCCTTTTGGCTTTCAAGTTTGAATTTGTGAAGGCTTATTTTTATTTCTTGTATATCTATAGATCTATATCCCACATTTCTTTCAGGATTCAAGATGGTATACAAAGCAGTCACTGCTTCTGTTTTGCCCCACATACAGTAACTACCTTGTGAAGTAGACGGGGTTGAGAGAAAGTGACTGGCCCAAAGTCACATAGTGGTCTGAAGATGGCTGAAGTTGGGCTAGAATTTGTCTTTTCCCAGTGCCAGTCCAAGACTGTAACCACCCACACCACAGTCCAAGTAGCCACCATCTTTGTCTTAACAACTAGCCTACAACCTGGTGCATCCCATTTATAAGAAAATGTCAGAGCTAATAAAATATGATCTTCCAGATTTCAAATCTGGAACTCCCTATACTATAGTTATTGCAGTATTAATGTGCACTAATTGTACCTTTTGAATAAATTTTTATATTAGATGAACAGGCTTATTTACAGTATAGCAATATATGCTATAAAATATTATACTTAAGTCATTTCTACAAGCTCACTTGATCTTTCTAGAAATCGAAAGATAAAAGTTTCTTTTTTTCTAGCCTGATATAGCTCATGTTAAAAAATTATACTAGTTTTAAGACCATTAAAATATTCCGGTAACATTCTTAATTGTTTGAGCTCAATAATTTATAAATTATTGTGACTCTAGACCTTTCCAGACTTCACCGATCCAGTTAGCAAAATGTGCATCTGTTTCCTGTTCAGGCTGTGAGCTTCCTGTTGTGGATTTTCGCCGCTTGTGTGGTTGCCTGGGCGGATCACGCCATGCCCATGCTACTTGGCCTTAGTGCAGACTGGTCTGCCTGGCAGCGTGAAACAATAGACGGAGCCTTTGCACGTGCTTTAGGCAAGCGTCCAGTGGATACTTTGGCTGTCAAAGAGATACTCAACCTTCTTCCAGGGAGCTTACAAATTCTGTTGACCAAAGAGCCTTGGAAAGAGCAAACGCCAAAGGTATGTGTCTTAAGTTGGATCGTGTCTTGCACTAGTTCACTCAACAGTCTAATCTCACAGTGTGAAAGAATCCTTTACAGCAGTGTTTCTCAACCTTGACAATTTTAAGGCATGTGGACTTCAACTCCCAGAATTCCACAGCCAGCAATTGCTGGCTGTGGAATTCTGGGAGTTGAAGTCCACATGCCTTAAAATTGTCAAGGTTGAGAAACACTGCTTTACAGGTTCTGATCTACCAGCACATATAGGAGAAATGGGCATCTGTAGATTGCAGCGGTATATTGATACAACAGTTAAATAAATCCATAAATATTTTGAGAAAATAGTGTTATATCTGTGGGTACATTCACTCCTTGACCAGAAGACCATCACGTCTGCATTCTAATATTAAGATCTGATTTCAGTTTACATTTGTTCATAGTTGTTATGTGGTTTTATAGAGGGAACTGATGATTAAAGAAAGAATTCCCACCACACCTACATCTTTCCCAATACAGGTGATCCTCGACTTACAACAGTTCACTTAGTGACCGTTCAAAATTACCATGGCATTGAAAAAGTGACCATTTTTCACACTTACGACTTTTGTAGCATCCCCATGCTTATGTGACCAAAATTCCGATGCTTGGCAACTGGTTCATACTTACGACTGTCGCTGTGTCCCAAGGTCATGTGATCCCCTTTTGCGACCTTTTGACAGGCAAAGTCAATGGGGGAAGCCAGATTCACTTAACAACCGTGTTACTAACTTTATCAACTGCAGAGAATCACTAAACAACTGTGGCAAGAAAGGTCATGAAATGGGGCAAAACTCACTTAACAAATGTCTCACTTAATAACAGAAATGTTGGGCTCAATTGTGGTCCTAAGTCGAGGAGTACCTGTATATTTTTAAAGACATCATAACCTCTTTCCTAGCTATGAACTTGTTCAGATTGATGTACAAATGTTTGGAGTGTTGGCAGTTTAAACTGTAGTCCACCCAGCATATCTTCCAAGTGGCATGTGGATAATTGCAGCATCCTCCCAAAATCATTCCAGTGAAATGCACGCAGTACGAGAAGAGCTTGGCATGACTGAAAATTAGGGCTGGGCATAAAACACACCGAAGCACAAAGAGGTAGATATAAAACTTGACAGGTCTTTAAATGAAATTCATACTTTCCAGGATTGCAAGAGCACCTGTCAGAGCTATGGGGTTGCATTGGAAAGTGGCCATAGATTCCTGGGAAGAGATACTGATGCTCTAAAAAGGTGTGCAAAGATGCTGTTTCAGCATGCCTTTCATTCTGAAGTGCTGCCTAACACTAACAGATTTATAACATGAATAAATTAGTATTATTTACAAACTAGGATTTTAAGAAGGTTTACAAACAACGATTAATTTTTCAAAGTCCTGAAATAGTGGTGGCGAACCTATGGCACGCGTGCCAGAGGCAGTACTCAGAGCCCTCTCTGTGGGCACGCGTGCCATGCCCCAGGGATGGTGAGGGATTGGCCCCCGCCGCCCTGGCCCCGCCCACCCAGTCTGCCATGACCACCGCGGCCACGCCCACCAGCACCCGCTGATAAATAAGTGGGTTTTGGGTTGCAGTTTGAGCACTGGGTCTCTAAAAGGTTCGCCATCACTGTCCTAAAAGAATAGCAGCAGTGCTGTTTTTCCTTACATGCAAGGTAACCTGCAGCTCTCAGTTGTAATAGATCAGCATGTAATATAAATCACCATTGGCCAGTAGGATTGAGAACTTGAATTAGATCATGTGATAGATTATATGTTTGTTTAATGTGTCTCGGTTTTATCATTTCCAAGAAATTGTGTTTTGTTTATTTTTTTCCTGTTTTGAAGGAATGGTTAAATACCCACACATTTCCTTGTTCTCATCACAAATATGTTGGATTGTCATTAAAATGTATTTCATATAAAACAGTTTGGACTTTATATTTGAATACAGATATATATTTTAAGCAATAATGAAAATTTCTGCATCAGCTTGTCAACTTTAATTAAAGCAGGTTTATCCAAAGTTTTGTTACCCCCCTCCCCCCCAATGCTTTGAACTACATTTCCCATCTGCACCAACCCACATAATCAGTGACTGTTGAGATGGCAATCATTGTATTCCAACATGTCTGGACAAGTTGAGAAAGCTTGATTGAGTTATTTTAATTTAAAAAAAATAATTCTAACTTTTGAGTTTTAAATTTATTCACAGTTTATTGACTGGCTGTTTAGCCTAATGGAGAATCCTAATGAAATGCTCTCTCAGTCTTCCAGATATCTTTTGAAAGGTACAGTAAAAACTGAGTTACTTATAGACTTCCAAACGTGGATAAATAATAACACTTTGTTGTTGTTGTTTTTTAAAAAGGTGATTTATATCAATTTAAAAGCAAAAACATGTTTACAAAAGATATTGTTATTCAGACTTGTTTTACACATCTCATTATAAAGTTGTGGGACAGTCGAAGGTGGGATGTTTCAGCTTCAGATCTTTTTCTGGAGGATGAGCCTTTTATTGTCTTCTAGTAGTTACCTTTGGATGTGAAGAACAAGTGTTTTTCTGTTCAGTTCCTGTTTGTGGATTTTCCATAGGCCTTTGCTGCTGGGTGGCGGGTTGGGGGTGGAAGAAGGCTGAGCTTGATGGGCCTTTGATTTGATCCAAGAGAGTTCTTCCTGTGATGTTAATTGACTTTCAAATCATTTCAGGCATGCAACAGTAGAATATTTGTTTCTGTTTCCATTGGTGATATTGTGTGTGTTCTTTTAACAGCTTCTTTATTGTCCCTGAGATCCCTTCCAGAGTTCAAGAAGAAAGCAGTATGGACAAAAGCTTATGGCTGGTAGGGATCATGAAGAAACAGATACTGTTATCTGCTGGCCATACGGTGTCTTGCAAATAAATCTTTTACGCTGTGGAATAAGAGCTTCTGTTAGGGACAGGTTGTTATCTTTCTTGAGGAAAGATACTTAAAAATCCTGCTTATTTGAATATGTACCATTTGTTCTATTGAGAGAAGGAGAGAGGAAAGAAAGAAAAGAAAAAAAGAAAGAGAAAGAAAGAAAAAGAAAGAAAGAAAGAAAGAAAGAAAGAAAGAAAGAAAGAAAGAAAGAGAAAGAAAGAAAAGGAAATTCCTATTAGAAAGTGGGAGTTGGGTTAGTTGAGTAAGGAAGTTTAAACAAGATAAGATTTCATAAAAGGTTGGTCAGCAATGCGTTTGACAACTTCAGTGTGGTAAGATTAAAAATATTGCCTTGAAAAATTGAACTTTTGAATGAGTTTTATTTTTTAGACAATGTGCGATGACACAAAGCAGCTACCCACTGTTTATTGATATTCTTGCTACCACTATCGGTACAAAGGAAATTAGGCTGACAAGAAAGTGTTTCCCCAGGGGTTCCTTCAACATGGAAATGATCCTATTTGGCACTGGTTTTCTCTATGGAAAAAAAAACATTTTAAAGGGAGATGCATACAAATTAGGACTTAACTAGCTTAAACTGAGGAGTGTCATTTTAATCAGAAGTAGGCCTTTCTATGGCCAAATGATAGGTTTTTTTGCCTTAACAATTTAAATTTTCTCCAAAATATCAGGCCATAGACTAAAAAAAAAAAAAAAGTTCACTTATGGTGGTGTTTAAGACATGGAAGAGGATCCCAGCCCCCTAATCTATATTTAAACCTCAGATCAAAAGAAAGTTTCCCAGAAAAAGAGCTACAGAAGCATTGATGGAGGTACGTTGGGATTTGATCCAACAACATGCATGGAAAAACATCTGGTTTCTGTACCTGGTTAATATCAAGGTTTCTCAACCTGTTATCCCCACCCATCCCCCAATGTTTTGAACTTCAATATTTCTATCTCCCTAAAGTCTCCACTCATTTCAGCATACTTTATTCTTCCTGCAAATATCTTTGGTTATTGCATTTCTGAAATGAAATACAACTTATGGAATAAGGAAGGGAGAATTTCCTCAAGGAAAAATGTAGATTAAAAAGATTAAAGATTAAAAAGGAGTCACAAGGAGGGGGCAATCAGCATTAAAGTTTGGAGGACTTTCAAAAATGTTGCTACTATTATATAAAGTCTAATCATAAGGAACACATTCACACATACTTTAACACGGGTGAGCGCCATTTTAAAAATCATTTTTCAACTCAGCATTTTAGGGATGTGGCTGATTGAGAGAAAGAATACAACAAATCAGATTTTAAGGTTTTGAAAGGCTTAGCCATACTTATTTTGAAAATCCTAAAAACATATTTAAAACCACATGGCTGATAAGAAGCCTTTTGTCATCAAATTTCAATGGCATGATCCTAACAAGCTCTAGATTACCAAAATACAGACTTGGGAATAAATAAGGTTCCCGAGTTATAGAAAGCCCATTCCTGCTTTATCTATACCTGGGTGGATAATGTTATGATTTGCAACATATCATCAGACACGTAATCAAAATTTCAGGTGCACACAAAATGCCCTACAATATATTCTATTTTTAAAAAGGTTGATTATTGCTATCAAATTGTTTTGTTCTGTCTGGTTTTCACGTAATAGTTCTTCAAAGACACCAGCTGACAAAAAGGTGTGTTGGAAGGTTGTTTTGGCTGTTGTCCTTTGTGGCAGTGTTAGAAACAATGAACGCCTCCTAGACAATTTTGAAAGAATTCTCCAGTGTGGATATATATACACATGCATGTACATAATATCCTGGCTTTTAAAGGAGGTAATGTTCTCATTACTGTAACAGCAATAGAGCAAGTAGCTTTTGCATTCCACTGAATATAATGAGAAAGCTAGTGAAAGTGTGTTTAAGCAATCAAGGAATTCTTTTGATTCTGCTTCGTGTGCCTCTGTGTACAAAGTCTGTGAGCAAACGATCTAATTGCGAAGAAAGTATAGTGTGCTTTTTAAACCTGAAATCTCCAAGTGACTAGATCTTGAAATATTAGTAATTGTCACAAAGGCTGTTTCATAAGAGGTGAAATTTGTCATTTCCGACCAAAAACATGAGTTAGCTGCTTTTCTCTTTGATCTTGCTGCTTCCTAGATGAGTCTTCCGTTCCATATAAAGATACTGAACAATGAAATAGGCACCTAAACCCAAACCACAGCATGTTTGAAACATAAAAAGAAAAAAAAAAGAAACGTAAAGTACATAATAGCATTGCTCTTATAAAATAATAGTCTCTGAAATCCTCAGACCTTAAAGTTGTTCAAATATATTTACTTTAAAGTGATTGGATTTATTTATTTAACCTACAGCAGTGTTTCCCAAACTTGACAATTTTAAGGCATGAGGACTTCAACTCCCAGAATTCCACAGCCAGCAACGCTGGCTGTGGAATTCTGGGAGTTGAAGTCCACATGCCTTAAAATTGTCAAGTTTGGGAAACACTGACCTACAGCAACTTATATTTTAAAACTCATTTAGCACATTTTTCTGATTCAGTAGCCAGAGGAATCTTTGCTTAGTCCCTCAAGATTCCTTGTTCCCTATGGTTTAATATCTTCAGAAAAACTGAAATCGGTACTGTATGAGGAATGCCAAAATGAAGAAGGAAATTGCTTGAAATGGTGTTAGGAAAACCGTCATTAGAGCAGGACAAGGTTGCCCTCATTCCATTTGACCATTCAGATATGTTGGGCAATATTGTGTTCTGAACTGTACATGTGTAAGTGTACATATCTCCAAATAGCTGGACATGCAAAATGACAGAGTAGCGCACTTCTGACAATTAAGCAATATATTGTCATTTAAATTATTTAAACAAATAGGGATTCAGTATCTGTGGGAAACACACTCTGGCTGATGAGGGCTTTGCATTAATACTATACTGTACCCATCTGTTTATAGCTGTTTCAGAGTTAGTATATAGCAGTGATGGCGAACCTTTTAGAGACCGAGTGCCCAAAAACTGGCCCCGCCCCTGCTCCACCCCCTGCCCCACCCCTGCTCTGCCCCATCCCCTGCCCCGCCTGCCCACAGGACCACTCACCGCCTCCACGGCCCGCTGCAGATCGCCCAGGCAGCCCAGCAGTGCTATGGCGGCCACACCCTCTGCCCACACTCTGCGGCATCAACTGCATGATGGGGTGTGAGGGCAGAGTCTTGCCTACTCTGCCTGGCTCCCATGTCCTTGGCTGCGCTGCTCCGTGTGGGCCATGCTCGAGGGCGACTGTCCTTCAGGGGGACTGCTGGAGAGGAGGGGATCGCGGGGGGAGGCAAGGCTGGGGCAACGGCACGTGTGCCCACAGAGAGGGCTCCGAGTGCCGTCTCTGGCATCCGTGCCATAGATTCGCCACCACTGGTATATAGTTTGACAGGGATCTGATGTAACTGATGAATACCTCTAGACTCTATACTGGTATAATGAATTGTGTGAATAAAGAACTTCTTGTACCAATCAGGCTCCCCTCAGTGAGGGATGGGAGTTTAATCCCCAATCCTGCCAATGCACTACAGATAATCTCCTCTGGTGTATTTGCTAAGAAATAAAAGAACTTACCACCAAACAATACTGCCATGTACATTTTCAGTACGTAGGGAAAGTAAACGGTTAGATCAAATGGAAAGAGTATTCGGATGGAATAAGTGCCTGAGGTTTCAAAGTGAGGCAACGATTCATATATGGCAAATGCTGGGGGGAGAAAAAGAAGAAAAAAATCAGCCAAGTGAAAAATTCCAAATACGCAAAAATGTCTCAGTTCTGCGCAATACATTCAATTAATATGGATACAGGTTAGGCTCACGCTTCAACCAGGACTAGAGATTCACAGTTAGAAGTTTTTATTATAGAGCAGGAGTGGGTAATCTCCAGATTAGATTGGATCCCAATTTTCATCAACCTTATATATATGGTATAGCCCAGGGGTAGGCAACCTGGGCTCTTTAATGACTCGTGGACTTCAACTCCCAGAATTCCTGAGCCAGCCATGCCTACCCCTGGTATAGCCAATAGTTACCGATGCTGGGAGTTGTGGTTCAGTACATCGGGAAGAGCACAAGTTGTCCTTTCTTCTGCCCCAGGAGTGTCCAGCCTTGGTAACTTTAAGACTTGTGGACCATCTCCCAGAATTTCCCAGCCACTATGAAGTTGAGGTTTCACAAGTCTTAAAGTTGCCAAGGTTGGATACCTCTGTTTTGCTTTAAAGAAGTGAAGCTGATTTGAAAGATTATTCCTGTGATACATATAGCCACCTCCCATGTTTTTTCAGAGACATCGTTTTTCCAAGAGGTAGCATCACAGGAAAAAAAAAAGTTAATTAGCTTTTGAAACAATTGGTGCTAAACAAGATTTGAAAATGGAAAATTTTCCATTGCCTTGCAAAGCATGTGACTTCTTACTGGAGAGCCATCATATTTATCTTTCTGTAAATACTATTATGCAATCCTATAAGTGTCTCCTTCGAAGAATGATCCAGTGAAACTGATTCCCAATTAAGCATATGCAGGTAGTCTTTGTTTAACAACTATTTCAAGTTACAATAGCACTGAATGAATGGTAGTTACAACCAGTCCCCAAAGTTACACATCATCAAAGCACCCTGTGGTCATCTGGGTGCCTGGCAGACCACCCACATTTACAAAAAAAACACAGCATGTGCTTTAACTCGCCCCACACACATCTCACCCCACCATCTGTGCCCTTTGCAGGCTGTCCTGCACGCTATCATCCCCTACTCCTGCCACCCTCAGCTGACTCTTCACAAGTTTGCATATAGGGCCAGCAGCTGCCTCAGCTAGGAATGCATTTTTGCAACAGGAGGAAAAAGATGGCGAAGAGTGGAGTGCAGAGTGCTCAAAAGAGCAGAGATGGGCTGCTTAGGCGGGGGGGGGGGATGTTGAAGTAGAGGCAAGCATAGCAGGGCAGGAGAAGCATGAGGTCCTCACGTAATGACAGTACAGTTCCCATCTAACAACCACTGCCAGAACCACCATATGATATGTCACCTAATGATCGCTCTGCTGAGCGATGGAAATTCTGGTCCCAATTAGGGCCATTAAATGAGGATTACTTGTGCAGAATTGTGATTTCAGAAATTATAGTCTCTTCCTCCACTTACCTTGAGCCAAAACTGAGAGAGGATAGAAAGGAATCCACAGTGAATGATAGAGCCAAGCTAGTCCTTGAAAGTATATCCCTCTCTCCAATAGTATGCAGTGTGTGTATCTAGAAGGAAAAACAGGGCAGGGGAGTCCCGTCACATGTGCCGTGTTATCAAATAAATAATGCATATGGCATCATTATGATTAGGAGTGGCTGCTTATGGGGCAGATGAATCCCATGCAGCCTTCAGAACCCAGGTTCCCTGCAGTTGTGTTATAACTGTCCTTGTTCCAACTCAGAAGACTGCCACTGAGAATGATCAAATGATTGTATCTGAATCCTGAATCAAGAGGATTGATTGATTGATTTGATTTCTAATAACCACCCATCTGAACAAGTAATCCTGGGTGACGTATTAGGACAACTAAAACACTACAAAATAAATATTTGTTGTTAGTTGCGAAGTCGTGTCCGACCCATTGCGACCCCATGGACAACGTTCCTCCAGGCCTTCCTGTCCTCTACCATCTTCTGGAGTCCATTTAAGCTCACGCCTGCTGCTTCAATGACTCCATCCAGCCACCTCATTCTCTGTCGTTCCCTTCTTCTATTGCCCTCAATCTTTCCCAGCATTAGGTTCTTCTCCAGTGAGTCCTTCCTTTTCATTAGGGCCCCAAATAAAACTGCTACTATGGATGTTAATAGAACCAAGAAACAGAGCCCTTAACGTATTTGGGGGCCCAGGCTCAGGTTCACAATCCTGTCTTCATAGCCTTATGAAAGGCCAACAGGATTAGGACTCATCCCGATATCAAAGGAAGAATATTTCAGAGGGCTGGGACCTACGACAGAGAAGCAAAACTCCTGGTTCTCACCAGCTGACATTCCTTGGCAGATGGGACCTGCAGTATCCCTAACTTGCCCGACTGAATTGAATAGGTAAAAACAGATTTGGGAAGGATGATTTGATTAGTCAACTCTTGCTAGGTTTCACAGAAATCAGAATTAATCAGCACTGACCTTCTGTTTTTCATTGGCTCCAATAAATTGCAGGAACCTCAAAAAACTAGCTTGCTTACATTTTTGCACACTGAATCATACAATGTCTTTGTGTTGCCTCAATTCTCAGGAATTCAACCATCTAAACACATTAATAATGTGTTTGGAGTATTCTGATGTTCTGGATATTCTGTGATATTATCAAAAATCTTGGATTCTACTATTCTGGTTATTGCTTTCTATTTATAATGTTCCATAAAAGAGGAGAATACATGATTTACAGCCAGAAAGGTTGAATGTTTATGAGTAAGAGAATGCACATCCTTATCTTCTGAGCTATGTTACAAAGAAAGCCTCCCAGATAATAACAGTGAATTCCATACAAGAAAGATAAATAAGGGAAACTTCTTGGCTGCGTTTCCACAGGAGTGGCATTAAATTCTCACCTGATGACATCAATGCAACTCCAAAGGAAAAACAAGACACATACAATGCCTTTCCCTTGAACTTCTTCTTGACTTGCTATGGCAACAAATAAGATGACAATTCTTTCTGTGATCTGGAAAAAGTAAAATAGTTTTTCTCAGTTTGTTCTCTTTGGACTATCAATGTGATAAAAGTGGCCACAGGAGAGACCATTTTCAACTATGGTAAAGGCAGGCTGTAGTTATATGATATGAGTCACTGAATTAAGTTTTTTACTCATCTTAATTTTCTGGGTTTGACATATTGATAAGTACCGAGGCTACATTCGCATACTACATTAAATTAAAATATGTTGTCTAATCAGAATATTATGGAAACACAGCTGCAGCACACGATGCATTAAATACTAAAACAATAAAATGCGCTTTTTCACTAAATTCTGTATTTCAATTTTGACATTAAATGCTTCTGCTATCTTAACTAAGGAAACACAATACGGTAGTTTGCAAAGTAGATTATTATCCATTAATAAGTAGTACTGTTTGCCCACTCACTAAATTTCCAAACAATGCAGTTACCATTAAAAAAATGTGTAGCAGGTTTGCAGAACCTTGAGTATATGAATACAGTGCGAAGATGACTTATTTTATGCAAACCGGAATTAAGTTTGGCTACAGATTAAAACTGGGATGAAGCACTAGTCTTTAGTTAAGCATATGCAGGTAATCCTTGTTTACTAATTGTATGGTTTAGCAACTGTTTGCAGTGAAGATGGTGATGAAAAAGTAATTTTTCAACCACTCCTTGCATTTATGACCTTCACAGGTCTGTAAAACAAAGGAAAGCTGAAGTAAGATAATAAAATCATGATATTTCACTTAGCAACCACTTCATTAGAATAAGGGCAGGGGAGTGAAGAAAAGGAAAGCACAGTTGAGGACACGTGATTTCCCAGTTAGCTTCGTTTAACGAGTTACTGGTCCCAATTGTATACAATGACTACATGTAGATAATTTTTTGAAATTGCTCATTTTCATTTCATATTTTATTGGTTTTCATTTTTTTAAAAGTCAGACTGAAATCCAAATTCCATATCCCGTTTTCTATAATCAGATGTCAGGAACTGAAAAACTCATGCCACTATTTTATAAAATGTATGCACAGGTGCCTTCTTTTTCATTTGTGCTATTGTTCTTGAATTCCCTCTACCTTTACAGTATACCCTATTTCCCAATTTCTAAACAGACCTTCAGGTTTCTGAGGGGCTATTCTGTGGCTTATTCAGTGCAACAGCAAATACTAAATCAAGTAATGGGCCACAATTAATACAACAATTAGAAAAACAGTGTGTGTTTCAAATCCCAGCCTGCTTAGGAAATTCTGTTCACATTCTGTTCTAACAAGAAAGACTTTCCCCTCTAGTCTTCCCATCTCCCCACCACCATGAAAAATGCAATTTATTCAATGTGTGTCATGTCCAGACACAATTCTAATCTGATTAACCGACAAAGATCTCATTTTTAAAGGGAGTGATGACAGAAACTAGGAATTCAGGTTACAGTTCACCTTCAATTATGAAAAGTCACAGAGAGACTTTAGATCAGTCAGTATGTAACAGTCTAATCAACACCACAAATTTTTGTGGGGAAAAACCTGGAAGTGGAAATATGATGTATCCTGTCTTGAATTACTGAACAAAATGTTCAACGTTATAGTCATTGCTTGCTGATCACTTGTTTGATGACTGTTAGAAGTTATAATAGCACTGAATGAATGAGACTCATTCATTATACTGTATATTCAGATCATATACTCAGTTCATGCAAGAAAATTGTACAAACTGATTATAAACAATGACATTGTAGTCATCAAAATGATTCACTGGAACATCTGTTAAAACAATCAGGTGCCAATAATGAAAAATTGGTGAGAATATATAGTTGAAAAAGTAGTTAAAAAAAGAGGTTAAAATATTGTGAAATTTCTAATATGTACCGATAAGATCTTGGCTCATAACATACAAGATTTACCTGTGGTTAAAAAAAAGAAAGTGAATAATTGATGTGGCAATACCAAGGCACGGTAGAGTAGAAAAATAGATAAAGAATTGGAGACAACCACAAGGTATCAAGATCCAAAAATAAAAAGTTGAAAGATTATGGCATAAACCATAAAGCCAGTGCGTGCCATACCAAAAAGCCTTAGACCGTGTTTAGAAAATCTGCATATTAACAAAATTTCCAAATCTGTCAATTACAAAAGACCACACAGCCTGGATCTGTGCGTAAGGACTAGAAAAATAATCACAATGAATTCATCCACGCAGCAATACTATCAGATTCTACCTGCCAAGAAGCATAGCTAAGAGTGGAATGTTGCAAGAAAGCATGATTGTGATACTACTTGCAAGATGGAGTTGATAGACTGAGCCCAAACATTATGCCAGGAATAGCCAACTTCTGCCCTGCATATATTTTGAATTCCAAGCGTAATAATGAATTGCTATTTGTCAGAATAGCCATGAGCTAATAGGTAGTGAAATTCAAAATACATGGTGAGCATTACCTTGCTTATCCTTGTATTAGAAGATGGTTTGTGCAGTTTCAATGAGAAAAAAAAATGATGCAGGTTTTGTTTATAGATGATGTATTGACGATGGTAGTGGCAGCTTTTATAAAATTTGCTAAAGTTTCTGATTGTCTTCTGATCATATTTCTCGTCAAGATTTCTTCCAAAATTCTGATCCACTGCGAGCAGAGCACTTTTATTACTCATGTTTTTCAATGAGCACATTAAAATAATATCCAGAATTCAGATCTAAAACCAATTCATTTTCATTTCTAAGCTCTCTGTTACTATGAGTTCTAGTAAAAGGGGGTTGTGTGGGGGATATATGCAGAGAAAAATATTTAACAGTGCAATCCTAAAAATGTCAAAAGTAAATCTCATAAAGGTCAAAAATTATGTTTCCCAAGTAAATAAACTGAAATTTACAATTCCCTACCTATGTAGTGAATAGGTCATGCCACAATAGGTCTTTCTATTGTAGTCTAAGTAGATATCCATAAGATTATGTTGTCCATCTCACTGAATTCAATGTGTGCTACTTGGGAGTTAGCACAGTCTGAGCTTACGTTTCTTACTAAGCTTTTTGTTTATTATGGCCACCTTTTCATCCAGGGTATAAATTAGAACCCTAGGCTGAAATGTAAGCTGACAACACAGGAATTCTTCATGCTAAAAAAAACCCAAAACAAAACAAAAATCTAAAATTACCTTTAAAATGTCGTTATATTAGGCACTTGTGTGGAATATTGATTATACTAACTTTCTTATTTGTCCTACAAATTCATTTTCTCAAATTCTGTTGAAGGAATGCAAAACCTTTATTCTCGTCCATTTGTATCTCTCCCTTTTTCCACTAGTTAACCTATTTTTCTGGGGGAAAAAAATCATTCCAAATTCTGTTCTTTGACTTATGCCTCTTTTCTTTTGCAAGGGTCTTTTGAGATTCAAAATAGATTGTTTTGCAAAACAACCGTTTTTTGAGCGCTGGTTTGACTTGATTGGGGCAGAGGTGGCAACCTATGGCCTCTAGGGCCATGTGTATCCCTTAACTTAATTGTACGCAGCTATGGGCATCTAGTCAATTAGGACCTCTAGTAAAAGCAATCGTACCCTCCAGGCAACCTGACAGAAAAAGGCATAAGAGGTAGACAGCCATAATTTCACAGAGTTAGATCCATTATTCTTCATACATTTTTGCTCGGATAATGGTTATTGGAATGGATATCCTGTTATGTGTTCCTTCCTGGTAATTTTTGATCGCTGTAATTAAGCAGTGTGTTATTTAGCCAGGACTTTCAGGATAATTTAAAGGTACGGTATATACAATAACCAGTGGCTTATTGCAGCAATGGCCAAAATCTTTGTACAAATCTATTGTATCTTCATTTACTATATAATTCAAAATACAGGTAGTCCTCAACTTATGACCACAATTGAATCCATCGTTTATGTTGCTAAATGAGTAATTTGCCAAACGACTTTTTGCCCCATTTTACCACTTTTCTTGCTTTGTTAAGGGTATCACTGCAGTTGTCCAATTAGTAACACGCTTATTAAGTGAATCTGGCTTCCCCATTCACTTTGCTTGTCAGGTTGCAAAAGTGGATCACCTGACCCCGGGATACTGCAACCATCATAAATATGAGTCAGTTGTCAAGCATCTGAATGTAAACCATGTGACCCTGGGGATGCTGCAATGGTCATACGTCACTTATCTCAGTGCGGTTGTAGCTTTGAACAGTCCCTAAGTGTACTGTTGTAAGTTGAGGACTACCTGTATTATTAGCCACAAAGACTGAAGGTTGGCAAGAACAAGATCTGAAACATCCAAAGGTGCTGTTTTCACGAAGTTTCTTGGATGAGAAACAAAACATCTTCAAAGAAAAACAAGGAAGCCCAGTTGCCTTGTGAAAAAGCACCTTTGGGACAACCATGACCTGGATGGCTGAGAGAGAGCTGAAGAAGCTTCTTGAATGAGAAGTGAAACATCTTCAAAGAAAAATAAGGAAGTCCAGTTGCCTTGTGAAAAAGCACTTTTGGGACCTGGATGATTGAGAATCTCCATAGAAGATCTGAAACACTAAAAAGCTGGCTGCATGATTCTGTGATAAGCTTAGTTCATTCAGTATTTAGGTACGATGGGAACCAGATTCCAGCAACATCTGGAGAAAGTGGAGAGTCCCCCTCCTTGATCCAAGGACAGGAGCTAAACTAAATGAGAAGGTCTGTAACCTGAAATGCATATACAATTAGCAATTACATGCTTTTGAGGGGAAATACACAATCACCCCGTTTGGATATGACACTCGAATGAATAATATACATATCTGAATTCCTAGATAAGTTTACTATTTTTACAGAGTGGTTGAAATTAATTCAATTATTTTTCCCACATAGTAATAAAAAAAAAAGCCAACACCTCCTAATTCCTTCAGTTAGAGGCAACATAAACTGCATGTCAAAGGCAACTTTCAGGTACTATATAACCTCGGACCTGCACACAGATAGGTTTGCAGGGGTCATATGGTGAATAAATAGTCATGTATGAGCTTCCTCCGATTGACTTTCCAAGTTGGGTTTTGTTCAGTTCATCACATGTTTCTGCTGTGGGATTTTAGTGAACAATAAAAACAACCAAAGGAGACCGGATTCCAAATATCAAAGCCCTAATTTTCTTTAATATGATCATAATTTGCCCATACCTGTAAGAATCTTGGAAAAAAATGATCCTTCTCAATGCCAGACCAAATATGCAGAAGCTCTAGTATAGATGCTAGCTGGCAAATACGCATCACCAGTCCAATAGAATGAAAAGTATCTGCAACAGAATCTACAGATGCAAAAGGAGAAATAAGAAACATTGGTTTAAATTTTTCGGATACTCCCTTTGTCACAGTCATCCCTCTTCCCACTGACAGGAAGTTAACTTGAACATTTTCCAATACTGGCATTAAAGATTTTTGAAGATTTCCTATATTATTACATAAATAATAATTCCTGAAGATTTCGATGATTTGTCTTTATGTTTTGGCACAGAGAATACTGTGCAAATTTTTTTCACAAGGTTTTTCAAAGGAGAATAGATGAAATGTGGCAATCGTGTCTGTGGAACATGGGCCCGTAGAATACATGGCATTTAATTTGGTGACAGTTTGGAAAATTAATTCATGAGCAAATTTATTCATTAAATTTCCAGGAAATTTTAACTTGAATTATTCCCCTCTCCAAAAAAGGGCTATACTTCTATTGTCTCTTTTTTCTTTCTTTTGATAACAAATCATTGTGTTAATCTGTAGTTACATTTGTGCTGCTGTGCTTCCTAATCTAGTTCAGTTTTATGTAGGCTATATTCATGTAAGGTCAATTAAAAATAATAAATCATTATTCAATATAGCTCTTTTGCTGGACTTGATTTATTGCTGTATCCATACTTGATTATGGAGTGATCATTTCCTCTGCGTTTTCAGATGCAAAATGTTAGGCTTTCCTCAGAATAATAAATTCCACATGTTCTAGAAATGAGCTCAAAGCTTTTCCAGTGCAATTAAATGCTATAGGGTTTTCAGATCCTGGGTCTCCCAGCAATTGTTCTTCACTGGGCCTTTAATCCATTTGATTAATGTGCATATAATGTAACTTGGTCATGATTTACTTTAGCTGGATTGGGCTGATGTCATTTCTATTATATAGGAAGTGAACAGTCAGTTATAATTACTTACAATCTCTCTCTTTTCCCAATAATCTTAATCAACTTTGATCAGTTGATTAAACTAAATGGTTTAGACATATGCAATGTGTTAGAAATTAAAAGGTTTTAAAAAAAGTCCCTAGATGATTAATTGTCTGAGTTTTACTGGAATAGCTATACTGATTGCTTCAGAATTGCATAAACTTGCACATGCAGAAAATTGAGTTTTAAAGGAAAAAAAAAAAACCTAAGTTAATCTTGCTAAAAGTCGACTGCAACTGGGAGATGTCAAGCCTGCTTGGATATTCTCATATTAAATAATAATGTTATTAAAATAACACCATATACACAGAAGGACATTAGGAGACTTGGGGGATTCTAAACTGAAAAGGGAATGAAAAGTTAAAAAAAAAAAAACCAGTTCAAAACATGTAAGAGAAGAACTTCCTTCCACCACTCCCTGCATAATTAAAACTGTTCATTGTCAATAACATGTATTTTTAAAAATATGGGGGCAATTTGTGTATTTTTTTTAAAAAAATCTTATTTCCATTCAGAATCACTTAGAAAAGGGCTCAGGTTTGGATAATTGAAATTGGCAAAAATACCTACATTGTACTCGTACAAATGGAATATTTGCACTGTCTTAACCAGTGAGCTATTTCTCTAATAAACATTTTTTTCAAACTGAGATCATAATAGCAAATTATAAGCAGTATCTACAGTATCTGTCTGTCTGTCTACCTACCTATCTACCTATCTATATCCATCCATCCATCCTATATCTATCTACCTTAATATGGAGAGCAAAACCTGAAGTGAGTTTTGAAAAATGGCTAATAGCTATTTGCCAAAACTACCTGCCAATCATACTAATTCTATTCATAAAAAAGTAAAGTTGTTGCCAACTCTAGGGGGTAGCGCTCATCTCTGTTTCAAGGCCATTGAGCCAGCACTGTCCAAAGATCATGTGGCCAGCAGGACATCACGGAGCAGTTACTTTCCACCAAAGTGGTACTTATTGTTCTGTCCCAGCCTACGCGAGTACTTGCTCTACTGCTTTATTCATGAGGAACCCCTCTTCATGGAACCAGGCAGGACACCCAAGAAAAACAACCTCCTTTTATTTTTTACACACCTGACTCAATGTCCAAGACTTTGGAGGCAAGCAACACAATCAACAAAAACATGAAGCTGCAGCGGGAATGGTTGCCTTTGGCAACCAGTACTTCCCACACCTCTCCCTTTTATAGTCCAGCCAGGCTGTGGCTTCTTAATGATTTTTCTTTTGCCTCTGGAGGTGCCCCACTGCCTTCCTCTGTCTTGCTCGCCTCTCCTCTCTGCGCATCCGTGCATCAGGATTGGCCCCAGCTGTTCCTCATCATCGCCCAGCTCAGGCTTTCAAAACTGCTATGTCTCTGCCTGAGTGTGAGTAGAGGGGCCGGGCTCCTCATCTGACTGTGAGTCCTGGTGCTCCTCAGAGCCTTTCTCAGACTCCAATGTCACTCCAGGCCCCTCCTCCTCATCTGAGTCCTCAGATTCAGCTGCCGGATCCACTGGCTGGCAAGGAATCACAACACTTATTTATCTACTCGCATTTCCATGGTGTCGAACCGCTAGGTTGGCAGGAGCTGGGGCGAGGACAAGACCTCACCTGTCATGTGGCGCTTGGGTCTCAAACATGAGCTACCAGCTTTCCAGAAGAGAAGCTTAGCATTTTAACTGCTGAGCCACCACGCCACCCCATTCTATTCATAGTTTCATATTCATAGTTTGGTTTTATTCATAAGAACACATCTTCATTTATCATTTTACACTGTGGAGTTAGAGCACCTTTGCCTTAGTCTTTAATACTGGTTCTTTATTTTTGAAAATCTTCCTGCTTTCCAGGAACTGGGATTAAACCAACCCTATTTCACACAACCATCTGAATGCATAAGGGCAAAATATAGATGGGCCTCAACTGGGAGCATAACTACACTTGCATTTAGGCTAATGTTTCTGATTCACCTTCAGTCCTCAGTTCCACACCAGGAAGTCGAAAATGAGAGTCTGAAGGAAACACTGCCTTAAAGAAATGATTAGGCCCATAGTGCCTACGTTTTTTTCTCCAGGGTTATCTGTAACCGAAGGGATCAATAATTTCAAAATGGCAGGCATGACAGAGCACTTCACCTCACCCCTTTGTGTGCAACACATTATAAAGCACAATTTTAAAAGGGGCAGGACTTGATTGCTTGGTCAGGCTGTCATTTTGATAGCCATTTTTCTCATGAATTCAAAGAAAAGCATGAGGAGACGATCATCAGAGGGATAAGTGGATATTTAAAAATAAATAAACCATGGTTTCCTGATTGTTATTTTGAGAAATAACAACCAGGAAATAGATTTGGACTGATTTTGTAGTTCTATTGTCACCATTTTTTATTTCATAATAGCTTCTTAGTGAAAAAAATATAAATACAATGGTTCTCTTACATTTTTTTTGTCTGAACGGGGAATTTAACTCATGCATATTATATATGTATGAAAAAGAGTTTTAGACTTCTCAAGTCCAAATTTCTAAAACAATATCACTGTTAGATCTACTTCAGTTAATACTTGATTTATTAGCAAGCTTTAACAAAATGGAAAATGTATAACATGAGCCTACCTTCCCCAAATGAAAGGAATCTGATGATCATATTGGTAAATATCCATGAATGTCCACAAAACTGAAATAAATAATAGCTGAATATATATGTATTCATTGTTTTTCTGTTTTCTTTTCTGAAAAGACAAAAATACTCATTCAAATACCAAAGCTGACTTTAAAATTCTAACAGCAAGGAATCATTTCTTACCTGATACCTATTTTCATCAAAGCATTTTCTATATCACACTAACATCTTACAAATTGGACCAAAGCAAAAAAAAAAAAAAAAAAAAAGTGAAAACATATAAAAGCTTGAATGACCATATTGTTATTTTTTTATTTATTTGCTTTACAGTACTAGGGAATAAAAGTTTTTTCTTTTCATTTTTCTGATAATGTGCTGTCCCTAGTTGTAAAAATATCTCTGTTATCCTTGCTTTTTTATGTCTCTTTGTGTATGTGTATATGTGTGTGGTGGTATGGCAGACCACAGAATAAAGAAACTCGAAATAGATAGTTTTCATTAGCTGAAGCCAAACAACAGCAAAAATTCAACAGGCTCCCAATAAAAATGGGTTGAAGTGAGGGGCCCTTGGTGCTCTCTAAGCTTGGTTGTTTTCCTGCAGACATTTCCTTACCAAACTAGGTAACATCATCAGTGTTAGTTTGGCTATGGAAATGTCTGCAAGAAAACAACCAAGCACAGAGCCAAGAACCCCTCAAAAGTCTGTTTTTGGATGCGGCCAAAATTAATCTTTACATTATAAGACCAAGTGGTTACACTTCCCTTCTTTTTCAGTCATAAGAATATAAAGCGCATGGTCAAATATTTGTTGCCCCACTCCTTCCATTTTTTTAAGCCAGCAGATGTTTTGGCACACTATAGATATTAGGAACTGAGTTAACCGCAAGCCTAGTGTCAGCTGTGGCATTCTGACATGGTTTCTAAACCAGAGAAGCCTTTCTATATATAGCTACAAGGCTCACACTTATTTGCACATTACAATTGAGGAAGCAATCCCATTGCTTCTTTGCAAATTTCTCCTGTGGTAGCAGCAAAGTGCTGGGTGCCACTGCTTTTTGCATACTTTCAATAAAGTCACTGGCCAGTGACTTTGGGCCAGTCACTCACTCTCAGCCCAACCCATCTCACAAGGTTGTTGTTGTTGTTGTGAGAAAATAGGAGAAGGCAGGAGTATTAGATATGTTCACCACCCTGAATTATTTACACAATAATAAAGGTGAAATAAAGATGGAATATTTTTTTTTAAAAAAAATTGATAACTGCCTTCTTTAGTACAGAAAACAGAGAAATCAATGTGGTTGAAGGATCGTTCAATCCTGGCCAAAACATCTGACTTCTTGAAAAAGAAAAAAAAAATCTCCCCCCCAGGTACAGAAGTTACATCACTGAATGCAGATCCTCCTTTCAATTATTGCATACTACTCCTCAACTACTCCATCGGCATCCAGCCAATCTCTAAAGTTAACTAATGAGGGATGAAAAGAATCAGGCCATCAGCTCTGCTCAGCCCTTGTGGCCAAAAGGGGTGCCAAAGTACAGGTAGTCCTTGACACATGACCACAATAGAGCCCAACATTTCTGTTGCTAAGTGAAGCAGTTGTTAAGTGAATTTTGCCCCGCTTTATGATCTTTTTTGTCAGCTGTTATTTGAATCACTGCAGTTGTCGAATTAGTAACACGGTTGTTAAATGAATTTGGCTTCCCCAGTGACTTTCCTTGTCAGAAAGTGGCAAAAGCCGATTGCATGAGTCCCGGACACTGCAACCGTCATAAATATGAGTCAGTAGCCAAGCACCTGACTTTTGATCCCGTGACCATGGGGATGCTGCAAGGGTCGTAAGTGTGAAAGACAGTGATAAGTCACTTTTCTGCAGTGCTATCATAACTTTGGTCACTAAGCGAATGGTTGCAAGTCGAGGACACCTTCTACAGATATAAAACAAGCGATGGAACCAACCCCAGGCGTCCCAAACCCCCTGTTGGGATCCTCTGGAGCTTCTTAGATTGCGGAGGCAACCCACTCCCCGGAAACACCAGAAAAGGAGACTAAAAGGGGATAAAGCCAGCCCTAGAACGAATTCCCCCCCCCCCCCGCCACCTAATTAGAATCTCCGTGCGCACGCGCGGGGTGCGGAGAAATCCCAGTGACCAGAAGAGCCCGGACCGGCTTTTGCACAGAGTCCTTTTACCTGGGGAGGCTGCGGCTCCGCTTCTCAGTTCCTTCGGCTGAGGGCTTTCCGCGAGCGAGGGAGCGAGCGAGCGCGCGCTGGGACGGTCGCAGGGCGCGCGCCTTCCTTCCCCCCCCCCCCCTCCGCCGATTCCGACCCGGAGCTGAGGCGAGCTGGAAATCCGTCCCCTCCTCCTTCTTCCCTCCCTTCTCTTCCTCCTCGTTACGTCTAGCCAGTACGGCAAAAGCCGGCGACGGGCTCCCGAAGTCTAAACTTTTAATGGAGCCGAGGGAAGGGGGGGGGGGTTCCTTCTTTCTAAATCGCGGAGGCGGTGTGTGTGTGTGTGTGTGTGTGTGTGTGGAAGGTGAGGTATGATCAGCCAGGCATGCAAAGGCAAGGTCGAAAGAATGGTGACCCTAGGCTGCGCGTTTCTACAGAGATGTCCTTTTCCAGTTCCTTGCGGCTTCAGCTATCACAGAAATATGTGTACGCCTATATGGTTTAAGAAATGGCATGTCAACTGCCTCGCTCTCTCTCTCTCTCTCCCTCCCTCCCTCCCTCTCTCTCGCATCTTCTCGTTGAAACTTATGCAATTGCCCAGCAAGCCGAACAAAATGTTTATGCAATCCTGCTCCCACAGATCAAAAATTTCATAAACAGAAGCGATTTTTTTTTTCTTTATTTCTCTGGCAAATGAACTAAACAAAACGCTTGGTCTCTTGCCCCCACAGAGTTCCTGTGCTGTTTCAGGGTGGGTGGCTGGGAGGAACATTTGGTAGCACCTACAGCAGTGGTTCTCAACCTGTGGGTCGGGACCCCATTTGGGGTCAAATGACCATTTCACGGGGGTCACCAAACCATGCTGTCCGCCATTTTTTTCCCTTTTCCCTAGCTGTCCTACTCCCTCTTATTGGTGGCCACACCCACTTGGGGGTCACCACAACATGGGGAACTGTATTATGGGGTCACGGCATCAGAAAGGTTGAGAATCACTGACCTACAGCCTTCATACAACATCCTTAAGGCATATTGGGCTGTCAAAGGAGAAACGAGCAGAGATCCAATTCACAGGAATGCATCAACAGCAATGGAAGGCTTCACTCTTCTCAACACACCCTTTATCCCCACCCTTGAAGAACCTACCAACCAGAGCACAGGACAGGCCCAATTAAAACCTGTTGAGGTGCTTTTGATTTAAAAAAAAAAAATTAGGAGCAATTAGATAAGGAAGTGATCCCAAATTAGACCTGCAAACCAATCAGAATGATGTGGGTCCAAGGCTGGGCCCATGTCATTGGCAAGCCTCCCCACCATGTCTCAATATCTGCATGGTAGCAAGAAAGATAATGCTACTTCTGTGCTGAGACAATTCAGCCTGACTTAAACCCACCTAAGTGGATAGATCAGTGGTTCTCAACCTGTGGGTCGGGACGCCATTTGGGGTCGAATGACCATTTCACGGGGATCGCCAAACAATGCAGTCTGCCATTTTTTTCCCCTTTTCCTTAGCTGTGCTACTCCCTTTTATTCTATTGGCTTTTGAAAGCCAATAGAATAGACTCTCTTGAATAGAGTCTAATTCTATTGGCTTTCAAAAGCCAATAGGAATTGTCCAGGCTGTCTCTGACCTCAGCCCGCCAAAAGTCCATTCTGCAAACGGTGCTGCATCAGTTGAGTAGTCCTCGACTTACGACCGGTTGAGTAGTCCTCGACTTACGACCGGTTGGGGGTTGCGGCATTAAAAAGGTTGAGAACCACTGGGTTAGATGGAGACTCCAGTTTGAGTAAGAAGTCCTGCCAATGGTAAGTCGGCCATTATCATGACACAGCATGGGATCTCTGTAGACGCAACCATCCTGATCCCAATGTTTCTTCCCGAGTTCATCTTTCCCTGCACTTGGTATTCACACAAGGTGTTTTTTCCACGGGCAACTGAAGCCTGATTTTTTATTTACTTGCAGTAGCTGACTTAATTAACTCAGCAGGGGGGTCTGCAGAATCCAGACCCCTGAATGTCATGAAATGAGCATGCAACATTGCACCACAAACTTTGCCCTTAAATATGTGTGTGAAATCTCAATGCACTACAAAAGTGGTAGAGCTTACATCATGACAATGCAATGCTTGTTTGGCAATTTGTCCCTATGTACCACAGAGCAATTACATATATCCACAGTGGGGAAAAAATTTCACCCCAGAGTTCTTAAAATTAGTGGTTGCCAAAAAGAAACAAGAGCCTAATTGTTTCAGTTTGGGTTCTGGCCTACAGCCCTGATATTTCTGGTAGTCTTTTATCCAAATTCTATGCAGGTCCAGCCCAGCTTCATTATCTGAAGGTTGACAAAGTGCTGCTACCAAGCTGGGCTCTGAAAGTAGGTTTATAGAACTTTAATTAAAATATTTCCCTCTTAGAGCTATCAGACACTGCCAAGCATGTGAAGGGAAGTACTAAATTAGGAACCCTGGACACAAACGCAGTTTTGAACTTCTTCAGGAGAGGTACATGGTGGAATAGAAAAGAATTAACATTATTATCTAATAAGTATGAAGAAACCAATTCTCCTTGCAAGCTGTTGATATTCACTTTCATTAAAGCTGATCAATTGGCTCCACTTCGGGACTGTTTAGTGAACTGGCATCATGGGCTATTTGGATATAACTGGGAAAACACTGCAAATGCTTAATAAATAATGTAAGTAGTGCTACATTGATGAAAAAGTAACTTTATGACAAATCCTTGTATTTACAACTTTTGCAGGGCTGTAAAGGAAAGGAAAGATGAAGTAAGGTCATAAGCACAGTGACAGTTTCACTTAGCAACTGCTTTGCTTAACAATCAAGTTGCCAGTCCCAATTGTGGTCACTAACTGCGGCTATTTAAAATAAATAAGTTACTATACAAAGTCTTTTCACCAATACGTCTTCAAAAGAAAGCCACCTCTCAGAATATGCAGTGAAACCTCATTTTTTTTTAAAAAAAGGTCTTCAGGAAAAGAAAAGCCTAATAGCCTAATGGGTCAATCTTCTTTCTCTTAAAAAAGCAAACCCAAACCAGTGAGAAAAATTAGAACTAAGCATTCTGAATGATTGCAGAAGTTGAGGTGGAGAAAAGATAATGTGTGGGGAATGGGAATGGATTAAAATCCTGGAAAAGGAGCGCAGTTGATTAGTTGGGTGGAACTGTGGTTTAGGCACATAGCCCACATTTTCTGAAAGATCTCACCTTTTCAACTGATAAACTATGTACAATGACTACATTACAAATGTCATTAATTTCACAGCATCAGTGAAGTTGCTTTAGGCAGCCTTGATCTCAGTTCGCCCTCTAGTGCCCAGTAGAGGCATAACGTTTTTAAAAGGTAGCACCAAGGTGTTTAATGATCATTTAAAGTTATGAGGGCCTTGGAAAGGGCACTTGATGATTCATAAATCAGTTCCATCTATCATAAAACATCACACCACAGTCACATGACTAAATTTTGGGTGCTTGGCAATCAGTTTGTATCTATGACCAGTTGCAGGTCCAATGGTCACATGATTACAATTAGCAATGGTTTTTGCTGGTTTCTGACAAGAAAACGCCTGCTTAGGTGAATGGGTTCACTTAATAACCATGTGATTGGCTTAACCATAAAAACAATAAAAAAATTAGGTCCAGTCCTGTGGGGGTCTCTACTTAGAACTGCAATGACTTACAACCAAAATTCCAGACCCAGTTCTAGTTGTAAGTTAAGAACTTCCCGTACAATATTTCTGTATAACCTCTCATTTAAAAAAAAACAGTCAAAATTAATTGATATTGAATAGCTAAATAGAGTTGGCTTGCCTAGTACTTGGTTAAAACTATTTGTACTTAGTACTTGGATCTCCATAAGGCAAACCACTTTTATGGTATTGATAAAAGCTGTATGCATCCAAATGATCTCTAGGAGAAGAGCTTTACTGAAGGGAATTTTTATATTTTTATTAAAGGTACTGACATTTTTTGGGCCCATGATGCTAGGCAACAAAGTAAAGGATTAATAGCCATAGCTGATATATTTAGCTCATCCACTTTACTATGTGTATGCTGCTTTGTCATGATGTATCTCTGGAAACTTGAATCTAAATGAATTTATTGATTGACTAGTAAGTGAAGAAGTGTTTACAAATAAGATCAAAGGACTTCAACCCTTTCAACTGTCTTCATTTCTGAAATTATATATAATGGAGAAAAGCTCAGGAAGATTTAGATTTCTCTTTATTTAGAAAAAATATTATTATCATCCCATAAAACTATAATTGAAATTTTATTAAACATTTCATAGTTGATAAAATAGTAGAACCGTTAACGACAATAAAAACAACGCAAATACCATAAACAAATGACTATCGTAGAACAATGTCAGATAATAACAACAAGGAATTGAAAGCCATTGTAAGGTTTATCAGTCAAAGTAATCCTTAAAAATGCTATTTTTCCCAGTTCCAAAGCTTTTCTAGGCAGGTAGTTATCGCATGATTTGTTTCTGTTTTTCACACAACCATTGCAGCATCCCCATGATGTGATCAAAATTTAGATGCTGGACAACTGATTCATTTTTATGATGGTCACAGTGTCCCGGGATTATGTGATCATCTTTTGCAACCTTCTGCCCAGCAAAATCAATGGGGAAGCCAAATTCACTTAACCATGTTACTAATAGCTGCAACAATTCACATGTGACAAAACAGGTAACTCACTTCACAACAGTCTCACTTAGCAACAGAAATTTTGGGCTCAATTGTGGTGGTAAGTTGAGAACTACCTGTATTCTGGCATCATTTGGGAAAAGCATCTTTTCAGCTTTGACTGAGGCTTCCATTTGCCTGAAAATCCAAGTATTAAGGTATTTGTTCTGTTCTGACAAAATCCAAACCAGGATTCTATTTCATGTATGCACTTCCACTTATAACTGTAGAAAAATTAAAAAGCAATGCAATATTTGGGTCGATAGCCCTAGTGCAAATACAAATAACATCTGAAGAATAAATACACAAATACTTATTTTTTAAAAAGTGGAATGTTAATATTTAAAAATAAATAAATATCTGGAATTGTATAAATAAGTAAATAAATAATTTAAAAATCCCATGTTTAAACTTCAAGTAGGCATTTCTCCAGAATGACAGTCACATCTTGAGCTTATAGGATGGGTGGAGGTTCTGTCTGCTTGCTTGTATTCAGCTGATTGGGAAGTCAAGTTTGAAAGCTCGATCTCAACCTTATATTTTTTTTAAAAAGTCTCAGTGCTTGTTAAATGATTGTTCCAGAGTTCTTGTGATGTCCTTTATTCTTGCGTATCTGCTTCAAGATGAGGCTGTGTGTCCCTTATTGTCTCAGAAATGTTGTCGAATCTGTAATTTTAGAAGAAAAAGAAAAATGTTGGGTTGTAAATGTAGTTTTGGCATTTAACCCCCAAAAGCTCACATTAAGAATGATGGCAATTTAAAAACAGGTAATAAATGCATATTCTGAAGGTTAAACTGTGCCTCTTAAAATGTTACATAATAAACCAATTCTATTCTGATGAAGTGGTTTTTGTAACCTTTGAATTTAAGACCAAGTTTGATTTGCCTAAAACTCATTTGGCCATTAGCCTAAAGGTCATTTGGCCATGTATTCAATATAAATTTTAGTTTTTGGACTATTTGGTCCTAATACAGCTGCTGTTTCAGAATTGTACATTTGTTAGAGGAAGCAACTGAAGTTCTTAAGCCAGAGGTCAACAATGTCCTTCTGTAAAGAGGAGGGGCTATGCTGTTGGGAACCTGTGACCTCTGCCTGTGGCGAGGTGGCTGGTGAATGTCTCCAAAATGGTGTCAGGTCCAAGGAGTCAAGGAACCAGGACAGAGTTAAAAAAATACTACAAGTTTATTTCATGCTACCTATACATAAAAATCCCAACTGCTAATGATCAAGGCAGATTGGCGTTAGATAAGAATCAATGGACTTCAAGCAGGCAGAACTTAGGTCTCTTACAGAGGCATAAAGACTCCAAACTGATTTATTACCTGTTGCTTGTATGTACACTGAGAGCTTATGCACCGGAGACAAATTTCTTGTATGTCCAATCACACTTGGCCAATATTCTATTCTATTCTATTCTATTCTATTCTATTCTATTCTATTCTATTCTATTCTATTCTATTCTATTCTATTCTATTCCACGCCACGCCACGCCACGCCACTCCACCCACCCTAGCATCCTAACATGTGAGCCACTGTGCTCCTATCCCAAGAAGGATGTGACTAGTTATATTCTCCTGGAGGTCTATAACTTTATTATACCAAAGAAAGGTTGCTTCAAAAAATGTTAAATTATTATTTTTTGGAATAAAAACCAGGCTAATAAATAGAAAACTGAAATATATACGAAACCTATGGAAATATTTAATAAGGAGTTGGAATATAATTTCACATGAAATAAGTATATCCTGTTATTGGATGGAAACTAATAGGAAGGTTAACAAGGCTTTAAACCACTAGTTAACCAATAAGGGTGCCTATGTTCTTCCTGGCTGTTTCAAGACATTAAGAACTGAGGATTGAGGAATTACAAGAAGAAATAATATACAACACCAGAAGGATAAAACTTAATTTTAAGCAGTGCATTCAGTTAGCATTAATGCATGGTAGGGGACCTTTGAGTAATTTGACCAATTTAGAAAGGGTTTGTTTTGTTTACAATATAATTTTCAAGGTCTTGATAGCATTTTTAAGATCTTTTTGACTTTGATGTTATATTACAAGGTCAATGAATAGTTTAAGAAAGAGATATATTTTCAAAAGAAATGTAGTATCTACAAATGGATAGAAAATTACTGTAGTTTATACAGTAATGATTGCAAGCAAAGTATATTCACTTTTTTTTCTTTTTTTAATCTTTATAAATAATATCGTGGAGATTTTGGTATTTCACTAAATATATGTACATGCCTCTTTTTATATCATGACAACAACTCAAGGTGAATAGTCATTACATGTTTTAAAATAAACCATCAAATAAATATCTAACCTTTAGCTTTGAAGAGTTCTCAAAAGTCGGTCGAGGAATACAAGCTGGATGCCCATAATTTCATGTCGCACAGTTTCCCAGGCACAAGAACTGTATTCTTCATTCTTTAGGAATGTGTCTAGTCTTAAAAAGTAGCTCTTCAGTTTGAGCTTTGTACGGATCTCTTTAAATGTTGCTTGATTTTCAGTCGCTGTAACAGAGCACTTCTCCCACTGCACGAACTGCTGGTCCAGAGCTGTTTGGAAGTGTTCAGCGACTGTCATGTTCCAGTCAGTCTTGGTGAAGTTTTGCGAAAATATTATGTTAATCTGCTCCAGCATCAGACCAACGGTTGCCTTTGCGTCCTCTTTGATCGACCCAATGTTGTTTCCTATTGGGAAAGCAAAGTCTGGAATTTTATGGAAGCATTTCCACGGAATCGCTTGTGGTCCCATTGCCTCCAAAAGCTTCATGATGTTCACCATTGCGCCTTGTTGGGATTTCACAATATGGTTACAGTCCAGACTTCTGATTCCAGAGGAAAGTAAAAACAACAGGATAATGTGCTGGAAGCAACCTGAGATCATGGTGATGCTTATTGGGTGATTGCTGTGGAGATACAACACCCTGGACCTTCTTCAAGGAGTCTTTGAGATCTTTGAGTCTGGGTGCCATGTTTCTGAGTTTATTTATTGGGAGCTGGGGAAAACTTCCCTTACATCAATCCTAGCATTTTTCATTTTCATTTTCATTTTCCTTGATTTAGCTGGGTAATTTTTGGTATGCTTTTCTTTACCCTTTTCACTTCCTGGTAGATTGAAATGTAGACTTTCAATTTGGGCTATCTAGATTGGACTAAAACAACCATCATCCCCATCTCCCATTACCAAATAAGTAAAAATAAAAGTTGCCAGATTTTGCACAACAGCGATCAAAATCATTCATATAGTGATCTGTGCGCCATATAAGCCTTAACGAGTATTTGATTTATCAAGAGAAGAGAATATTTGCAGCTCAGGGTTGAATTGTGGGTTACCTGGATGCTCTCTGAGTGTAATTGTTTTCTTGAAGACATTTCATTACCCAACTAGGTAACATCATTAATGCTAGACGGGAATGGGGTTTTCTCTATGTTTATATACAAGTAGCTTGCCTTGCCAGTATTGGTGGGAGAGAGGAAGGAAAGAAGGGAGGGAGGGAGGGAGGGAAGGAAGGAAGGAAGGAAGGAGAGGTTGATTAAATGCTATTTAACAGAAAGTTCCCTCATATAGATAGATATGAAAGCACATTTTAAATAGACTACAGTAATAATAATAAAATGTAACATCAAAATCTTGTAGGAGATGAGCAGGCTGAGCCCAAGGGAGGGGTCAAACGTGTTATAAGTCATAAATCCCTGCGCACCCACAAGAGATCTAAGTCCAGTCCACTTCGAATGCCTTTCTTATCTCCTGCTCATTTCCCTTGACGTTAGTTGGTCAGATTCTTGTACACAGCTTAAGCTTGCAATAAATCTTTATATTCATTTTGAACTGCCTGAATCTCCAGATTTCCCTGGCGCTTGACAAATCTATTGTAACGTATTTGAAAAGGTGAATACGAAGTTTGAAAAGTTACGTAACAGACCAATTTCAGATACTGTATGAATAATTTATAAAAGCCTGTTTTAAAAATCCTTCTTATCACTCTTAAGAATTTTCTCTTTTTTAAGAAAAAAAGTCTATAATTTTATCCGATTATATTCTTTGCCTTTATTAGAGAATGAAAGAGAATAATTTAATGGTGATTAAAATTGGTAAGTCTATCAATAAGTGCAAAAAGGGATTGATGAGGATAAAAATGGACATTTTTCTTTTTTCAATATAACTCCAAATTCTTTTGGGGAGCTTTTCAGATTTGTCTTTGGATTTGTAGAAGTAATGCTCTCACAGCATCGTATGCTTTGCTTTCTGCCACTACTTTCACTTTCCTATCGTCACTCTGCAGCTGCCAAGTGATTCCCCTCGTTAAAGAAGAGTTTAAAATCAGGCTCTTTTCAGTGTTAACAGAGCCAAGAAACCCAATGAATAGACCAGATTTTTTTTCTTTTTTAATTAGGTAATTGTAAATCCCCAGTGGACCTGACAGAACGCATCAAACTTGACTGATGAAATGGAATTTGAAATTACATTGTGGGAGGATGTCTTCTGAGGGTTTTGGACTACAGCATCCGTTTTCCCTCTAGCTAATTGTCCATGATGAGGAAAGGTATTTTGTAGCTGTGCAATCTCCAGAGGATGTTCAAGATTGGCAAACGCTAGCTAGGTAATCCAATGCCTTTTGGATATTTTAGACTACAGTTTCCATGGTCAAAAATTATGGCATTTGCAGTCTAGTTGTGTGCCTATCTTCTAGTTTATGAGAGGTTATTTGGCCATGACAGTAATTTCTTTTACATAGGCTGACGATATATCTACTGACTGGTCATTAAAATTACTTAGGATAATTTGAATGTTCAGTGTGATGTAGTAATTGAAATGCACACTCAGCTTTGTTTGAGCTTGACCCATCAGTGACATTTGTTTACAGAATAACAGAATCGGAAGGGATCTTGGAGGTCTTCTAGTCCAGCCTCCTGCTTAAGCAAGAGACCCTCTACCATTACAGACAAATGGCTGTAAAATGTCCAGTGCTGTAGCACCCACAACTTCCAAAGGCAAGCTGTTCCACTAGTTAATTGTTCTCTCTGTTAGAAAATTTGTCCTTAGTTCTAGATTGCTTACTTGATGTTTCTGTCCATTGTTTCTATCCATTGTCTTGCCATCAAGTGCTTTGGAAAGTAGGTTGACACCCTCCTTTTTGTTGCAGCCCCTCAAACACTGCTATCATGTCACCCCATTAGGAACATTTCCTCACTTCTCATCTATGCAGCTCTTATGGAAATCCATTCCCTGGAGTGGAAGCAGAAAAAATGGTTTGGCATTATGCTACTTTTCCCTGATTCCCTTTCTCAACTCTGTAGGTTATAGCTGCTAGGTATTTTGGGCTACAGAAAGCATTGGAATTAATGCTCCTGATATAACCCCCCCCCAAGACCATCCCGACTGGCATCTACATGTAATTCATACGGCCTATTGGGGTCGGCATAAGTTAAGACGGGGGTGTTTGTAAGCCTTCACTTCAGCTGATCAAAAGCCTGTTCACAACGCTCAGTCCATTCTGCCAGAATAGATTCTTGCGACTTCCTGGGCCCCCTAATTTTATGGATTGGATTCGAACAACCCACTGTGTTCTCTACCTCCTCATTTTTTAACAACTCATTAAGCGGGCGAGCTGTCTTAGCAAACCCTTCCACAAATCTCCGATAGTATGAACAGAACCCCAGAAATGACCGCAGTTCAGCGACACTCTGGGGCCTAGGCCAAGAAACCATGGCCTCAAGCTTGGCGGGGTCCGTTGCCACTCCCTCGGCCAAGACGACATGCCCTAACTAGGTGACAGATGGCTGATAAAATTGGCATTTTTCTAACGACAATTTCAGCCCCTCCTCCTGGAGCCTTGTCAGTACCTTCTCTAAATGCTCCTCACGCTGCTCAAGTATCTTCCCAAAGACAATGATGTCATCTAAATAGACCAACACCTCTATCAGGTTCATGTCCCCCACTGTCTGTTCCATAAGCCTTTGAAAGGTTGCTGGAGCCCCTGACAACCCTTGTGGCATTCGATTGAATTCATAAAATCCCAATGGGTAGATGAACACAGTTTTCTCCCTATCCTCTGGGTGCATGGGGATCTAATGGTAACCACTCCTTAAATCTAACACACTGAACCACTTTGCCCCTGACAAATACTGCAAAGCATCGTCTATCCGAGGGGTTGTATACTGGTCAGGGATGGTCCTCCGGTTAAGGGTACAATAATCTATACACATCCTTAGGGTCCCGTTCTTCTTTCGGACTACCACTATAGGGGAAGCATAAGGACTTCGAGACTCCCTAATGACCCCAGTCCTTTTTAACTCTAGGTGCTCCCGAAGATCATTTAAGTCACTCAAAGGGATCCACCGGGACCTTTCCCTAAAGGGTTTATCCTCCTTCAGTCGGATTTCATGTTTGGCATTCCTAGCACAGCCTACATCAAAATAATCTCTTGAGAATAAATGCCTCCACCTCCAAAGCTGGTCCCTCGCTCTCTCTTGCTACTCAGGAGGAAGTTGGGTATTCCTAGGATAAAACTGATCCATCGAGACCTCTCCCTCCATCTCTCCCTCATCATCCAGAGACTCAATTGGAGTAGCTGGGCTCACCTGCCCCAACAACATCCGATCCTTCAGCCACACCGGGAGGCCTGTGATATTCCGAACTCCAACCAAGATCCGCCCTTTTTCCTGCTTCAATACCCATGTGGAGATTACCTCTGGAATCAATTCCACTCCACCATTCTGTCCCCTTGGGCCAGGCTCAAGAATGAAATATGGCCCAGGCTGCTCCCAATCTAACTTAACAGAAGCCCTCAGGCACACCACTTCCCCAGGTTGTATTACCCTCTTTCTCTTATCCAATTTCCATAACCGCCCCACTCCCTCTGCAGGGGCCTGCTGCTCCCGCACCAAACCCTGGCATACTGTCTGCAGCACAGGGTGAACGTTCCTCACTATTGGGTCCTTCCCTAATAGAATGACTGGGGTAAGTAACCGCCTAACTAAACTGGTGTTAGTCCCCACAATCAATGAACCCTGGCTAACTCCCAGGGGACGAGCACATACAATAGCCAAGGTATCCAAGGTCTCCGTATGCCCAGCAACAGAGGGCCCAAACGTCAGCTGTATAGGCAAACATCCATCATAGGGGAATTTTTCAGTACCAATACCACAGATCTTCAAATCAACCAACTCCTGTATGGGCATATGCGTCAAATACATATCATAATACTTATCAAATACATGTATAATAACGTCACCTGTGCACCTGAATCCAAAAGAGCCTTAGTATAAATATCCTCCACCTGCACTGCCACCACCGGGGAGGGGCCCACCAACTGCTGAGGAGCCATGGCTTTAGCCTCTGCCAGTTCAAGGGGACGGGGGTTTCTTATCAGAGAGGATACCCCTATTACTCTCATTTCTGCTGAGGATTCCCAAGAAAACTCTCTCTTGCCAGGGCTGACTGATATCACCGGGCGTCCAGCTAGCTCCTTCACCCGGGGCCCTTGACAATTTCCTGAATGCACTGGGTTCCCTGATCTTCTATACGATTTTGGACATGCACGCTTATAATGCCCCATGCCCCCACAATTATAGCAGACCACTGATCTCATTGGATTATTATCCCAGGTGGGCGGGCCCATCCTCCCATTGTTTATTCCACCCTGACCTCCATGCAAGGGTGAGCCACCCGCTGTTGACCAGGAGGCTATCATCTTGGTTAACTCCTGTATCTGGGTTTGCATCGTGGTTATCTGGTCGTCCTCCTCCCTTACCTCTCTCGCTCCTGAGCCTAAGGGCTGT